TCTGTTTCCATATCGCCTTCAAAAGACATTGATAGAATCTAGCTAGTCCAGGCCTTCGCCCCAATACATGTGTGTCCCGGAACAGGGTCCACAATTGCAAAGGAAAGTTCACCTTTTTCAGAGGATCGTAATTATTGAACAGCCTCTTTTTCGAGCACTTCATCAATTGCTATAGATAACGGAGTCATCCTATCCGATGCCATTATGATAATTGTCCGTTTGTCTGTCTGCAACCGATAGCTAATTATGGTGGATCTCTTGCTTAGAAAAATTAAAAGGAGCAGAAGTTCACTATTCTGAGCGTACACAAGTTGTGGAATAGCTATGTAATGGAAGCTGAGATAAGCTTTCTGAACTTAGCAAAGGACGCTAGGAAGAACTTCAACATTTGGCATCTTGGAACCTTCAAGGACTCGATGGATTATGTACATAAATCGTGAAGCTACCATGAGCTAATCAGTAAGTCTAATGCAATATGCTAAAATTACATTAGTAAAGCAATATAGTTTTTTCCTACAAAAAACTTGTATCAAACTAATAAAATCTTTATTCATAACTTCTTTGTGAACACTAAAAAAGAAGTCAATTGATTATGTGTATAAAATGCAAAGGTACTGTGAGCTAAACAGAGGTCTAAAGCCATGTGCTAACATTATGTTAGTGAAGCAATATAGCTTTTTCCTAAAACTCAAAACCCTTTAAAATTCTAATTTATAATTTCTTTGAAAATAAGGAACTTCAATTTTTCCTAAGAAGTTATGACTTAGAATTTTAATGGCAAATTTTTCAGAAAGAATGAAGACGTACCAAAAATGAAATATTTACACTTATTTCTTCAACATTATAGTTGTTTGGAGCATTACGAAAATTTTTAACGTAAGACATAGGCATTACCCTTTCCCTCCGATACATAGTTTCCTCCTCCCTTCTTTTGAGATTCGCTGTGGTTTTTTCATCTTTTTTCTATGACTTACGAATCACTATTTTCTTCCGTGAACTCATATGTTAGAAACAATGTGGAAAGTTAGTTGCTTTCACCAAAGTTATTGAAATTCACATGTTCTTGTCGCAACTCGCTCAAAATCATGCAAAGAGGTAAGTTAACATTCTCATTATAGTTATATGAACGGTCTCTTAGAAAATTGTGTACAAAAGGATGTTAACATTCTATAACAGCTGAAGCAATTCGCACGCAATTCTTTCCCAGTTTTACTGATTATATCGAGGTGTCCTTGATGAGCGAAACGACGACTTCTAAAAAGCCCGATTTGTTACCAAAAATGTTCAGAAAGGCATTTGTTAGGATGGCTAGAGTTCTAAGGTTCATGAAAATTAACTTTTTGATTAATGTTAGGACTTTCGTGTCGCTCAGCGGAACTGGTAAGGATTATCACCGCAGGATTGCTGTGATGGTTAAGAACCCTTCGCATTAGGAAGTATTTCACTAGGCGGCGCTTTGGCTGGGAAAGCTAAATAGGAGAGTCTTTGATTATGCTTCTTTTGTAATCCTACCGTCTTTGGGCGATTCTTCACACGTGGTCTTAGCCCCCATTATGGGACTAAGATTATCCTTATGTCATGCGTTCAATTGAAATACAGCTTTGTTAATATTTCATCTTAAAATTAAAATTAAAATTAAAATGAGAAAAGGCTTATTAATGAACTTAGTACTTATGGTTATTTATAAATTTCTAATAGTGTTAAAGGCAATCACTACCCACAGATCTCCTTATTCAAAGAACTATGAAAAATAACATTTTATTCTCCTGAAATTGCAAAAAGCAAGCGCTTTGCAAATATTAAATCTGCTCCAATTAACTGTGAACAATGGTTTTCTGATTTCTAATTCCAATCTACTTTTTTTGACAAATTAGTTGATATACTACAAGTTTGAAAATTAGAAGTTATTTTTTCTAACGTGCATTGCTCGCCAATTATA